CTCTGTCTCAAAAAAAAAAAAAGAAAAGAAAAAAAAGATTACTAATTTTTGGATTGCTGAGACACAGCTGAAAATTTGACCAGTTTGCAATTAATTTAATCCAGTTAATCAAGGTCCACCACCAACTCATTTAACCCAACTTTTCTCTACATCTGAGGATTATGAGTTTGGGATTCATAATCCCAATTTGCAGGACAAATTCTCTACAGCCAGGCTTCAGGATCTCAGCCGGCCAATCTTGTTCTTTCTTCTTCCTTGACCTCCTTCTCAGTTCCCTCAGCCTTCTAGCCTGACACTGACCTTGCCACTTCTTCCACAGCGGTTCTCTGGACAGTCCAAGGCTCAATGCATCGAGAGCCTCCTCCAAGCCATCCACTTTCCTCAGCCACTGTCGGATGATATTCGGGCTGCTCCCATTTCCTGCCATGTCCAGATTGCACATGAGAAGGATAAGGTATCCTGCCCCCTGCTGGCCATTCAACACTTCCCGAGTACTTTCAATGTTTCAGGAACTTTGCTTGGCACTGGGTTTATAAAATTCAGCAACATTAGGCCGGGTGCAGTGGCTCACGCCTATAATTCTAGCACTCTGGGAGGCCGAGGTGGGTGGATTACTTGAGCTCACGAGTTTGAGACCAGCCTGAACAAAAAAGTAAGACCCCCATCTCTACTAAAACTAGAAAAAAAAAAAAAAAACTGAGCCCAGAGGATCTCTCGAGCCCGAGTTGGAGGTTGCTGTGAGCTATGATGCTACAGTACTGAACACAGGCAACAGCTTGAGACTCTGTCTCAAAAAAAAAAAAAAAAATTCAGTGACATTCCTCTCACAATGAATTCCCCATTCATGGGGAAGACATGGCTGTGACAAGTGGTCACAGTGGTGTGAAAAGGTACTGCAGGCATCCAGGAAATGGGGCCTTCTGTTCTACCTAACAGGCAAGTCAGGGAGAAGGGGTCTTTGGATTAGGTTTTTTTTTTTTTTGTAGAGACAGAGTCTCACTATGTCACCCTTGGTAGAGTGCCATGGCATCACATAGCTCACAGCAACTTCCAACTCCTGGGCTTAGGCGATTCTCTTGCCTCAGCCTCCCGAATAGCTGGACTACAGGCGCTCGTCACAACACCCAGCTATTTTTTTGTTGCAGTTTAGCGGGCGTGGGGTTTGAACCTACCACCCTCAGTATATGGGGCCGATGCCCTACTCACTGAGCCACAGGCGCCGCCCTGGATTAGGTTTTGAAGGATGAATAGGAGTTATCTGGGCCAGTGGGAAAAGTTTTCTGCTTTTGACCCACTTCATTACTGCTCTTTTTTTTTTTTTTTTTTTTTGAGAGAGACAGTCTCACTCTCTTGTCCAGGCTAGCATGCCATGGCCTCAGCCTAAACCACACCAACCTCAAACTCCTGGGCTCAAGTGATCCTCCTGCTTTAACTTCCCTAGTAACTAGGACTATAGGCACCTGCCACCAGGTCTGGCTCATTTTTCTATTTTTTGTAGAGATAGACTCTTAAGCAGTTCTCCCACCTCTGCCTGCCAGAGTACTAGGATTATAGGTATGAGGAACCGTGCCCAGCCTAAAATTCAAATTATACAGTAACATAACTTGGGTGCCCCTGGGACTCTTATTGCTATTAGACAATCCCTTTAGCAACCACCTTTTTTTTTTTTTGAGACAGTCTCACTATGTCACCCTCGGTAGGGTTGCTGTGGTATCCCAGCTCACAGCAACCTCAAACTCTCGGGCTTAGGCCATTCTCTTGCCTCATCCTTCCAAGTAGCTGGGACTACAGGCGCCCACCAAAACGCCTGGCTGTTTTTTTGTTGTAGTTGTCATTATTGTTTAGCAGCCTGGGGCTGGGTTCGAACCCACCAGCCCCCGTGCATGTAGCCAGCACCCTAACTACGGAGCTACGGTTGCCAAGCCCCAGCAACCACTTTCTGATTTCAATAACTATAGGTTCATTTGAGCTATTCTTTGAGCTTCATATTTATGGAATCACGCAGTACATAATCTTAGGCCTGGTTTTTCAATATAATTTGAAATTCACCCATGTTATTGTAATATCTGTAGCTCTTTTTTTTTTTTTTTTTTTCAGTTTTTGGCCGGGGCTGGGTTTGAACCCGCCACCTCCGGCATATGGGGCCGGCACCTTATTCTTTTAAGCCACAGGCGCCACCCTGTAGTTCTTTTTTTAGAGACAGTCTCTCGCTCTGCTGCCAGGGCTAGAGTGCAGTGGTGG